TTAATTGGAACATTTATGATGAAAATTATTGTAACAAAAAAAATTCTTTTTTTGTAACAAATATAATTGTTATAAATAACTTGTTAACAATGTCAATTTTATCTATCACTATAAAATTATTTTTTGTAATAGGTGCCTAATTTATCACTAAGAGCATTAGTGACAAGGGTTTTACCAATAGTTTAAATTTTATCACTAATAATAATTTGTAATGAAAAATAAAAATTTAATTATCAATAATTTAGTCACTAAATGTGAATTTTCTTGTAGTGTCATTAATTAGTGAAGGCATAACGAAGAGGCCTAACTGATTGTCATTTATGGCTTATGATTTTGTTTACCTTACACGTTTTAACTCTAATTTTATTATTTTTCCCAGGAACGTTGTTATGTGTCAAGTGCTAATGTTATCTCTATTTACCAAAAACTCTAATTTTACTATTTTATAATTTTTAATTAATTAATTATGAAATTTAATAATATTTATTTATAAATTAATTTTAATTTATTAAATAATTATTATTAATTATCATATATTTTTAAGTATGAAATTAGAATAAAATGTTAATAATTAATGTGACTTTAACAAATTTAAGTGTGGTCAAAATTATAACTATCATAAGCAGTTGAAACATGAAAGTTTTTATATATTTCTTTTACTATTAAAAAAGGTTTTTTTGAGTTGTATACATATTATATATGTTAAGAATGCAATTAATACGTATTTTTTATATTAATTAATATTGAAAAAATAAAGGTTAATTTTTATTTAATTAATTGTCTAATTAAAATGATCTACATAGTATTGATGGTAAAATTAATAAAAAAATTTATATTTTAAAGAATTTTTTAACATATACCTTTAAAACCTATGTTAAGGATATATTTATGCAAATAGTGCATATCCGTATTACATCTTAAAAATTAGGAGAAAAATCATTTTAAAACTACATCGTTTCAATAAATCTTCATTGAAAAAGACTAAAATACCATATTTTGAAAGTATGAATTAGAGTGTTTTTTGTCTTTTCTTATAATGTTTTATTAAAAGTACATAGTTTTGAAATAATTTTTCTCAAAATCTTTATGAGATAAGGCAGATAAGCATTAATCTATGTACATTTACATTATTAATTTGCATAAAAAATAAAAATTAACTTAAATTTTATCAATTTTCAATTAAATCATTTCACATAGCATTGGTTTTAAAAATAAAATTTTTATATGAATTAATAGTAAAAATGTTTAATAAATATACCATAAACTTATATCAATACAAGTTAAAAAAATTTATTTTTTAATACTAATTAATGTTAAAAAGATGTATTAATTACATTTTGAAATACATGTTTAAAAAAACCATTAAAAAAAAAGAAAAAAAGAGAAAGAAAAAGAAAGAAAAAGGCCGTCAGCCACTAAACATCCTCTTTTGGTTCTTCTTAATCAATAGAGCTTTGAAGGCATAAGGAGGAGTGTATCTATTTTAGAGACTTTCACCATGTCATGTCCATCTTCCACTGGCTCCAAACTGAAAGATTGTTCTTTAGCTGTGGACGACCTTTGCAAGGCAGCAAAATCATCCTTTCATGAGAATCATCATTCTCACATCGGACCTATACATTACAACACAATATTTGATTAAATTATTAGTTTTTTTTTTCCCAAAAAAAAAAAGAAGAAGCTAGAAATGAAAGGAAGTTCTGGGTTTGTTGTGGTGGGTAGGTTTGAGTGTGCACATGAATAAAAAAGGCAGGGCGGGGCAGGGGCTTCTGTCCGTAAAAGCTAAGGTGGGGTCTCCATCAGAGATTGATTCTCTACTGATCGTAGGGTATCCCCCCCATATCTCATCAGAGAGTGACCACAGATCTCCTCGTAAACACTGTGTTTTTGGAAAACCGTAAGGCCTATTGGCCTAGCTACCCCCCCCCACAAAACCCTCGTCTTCTGGGCCTCCCATGGACCCCACCTCCCATCATCACCGTACATCAAAGTCAATGAGAGTCGCTCAAAGTTGAAGATCTCCGTCTGGAACCTAGCCTTGTCTTTCGGCGTATAATCCGTCTTTTTCGAAAGTCTTAACTAAAAAAAAATCGAAAAACTTTTGAATGAGAAAAGGAAAAAATGTGATGGCGAAGAAAAATGAAAATAAAGTGTTTTATCATATTCGAATAAAAGAAATTTAATTATTTTTAAATAAAATTTTAAAATTAAATTTTATAAATAAAAAAATAAATATTAAAATTTTTTTTTCATTATAAGATTTGACATAACTTAATTTTAAATTAATTAATATTTAATATAATTTTTAAATATTAAAAAATTAATAAAAAAAAGTTGTATACTAATCAATTAATAGGATGAGTTTCTAGATTTTTTATATTGAAAACTTTTTTTCTAATATATATATTTTTTATAATCGAGTGCAATTTTAACAGTAGAACATGAGATTTTAAAAAAATATTGAAAAAGAAAATTTTTTAGCAAGTTGAGATAATTTTATGCATAATTATATATTAAGAGAAACAGACAAGTGCAGAACATTTGTGGATGTGAAATGGTGGTCTAGTAAGAACAGAGAGGATGAGACAAAAGTGATAAATTTATGTTTTGTGGGGACATCTTATACTTATGGAGAAACACGGAAAAAGAAAAATGAGGGCATACTTTTGCTCGTTTAGGCAGTAATAATTCACCTCTTTCTACCTACCCAATCCCTCTTCTGTAATCTACTAAAGTTTCAATTTACCCACCTATTTCTTTACTTTTAGCTATTTGGCCAGCTGAACTTTACTTTTTGTACAATTGTTTGCACGATACCCTTGTTCCTTTTTTCTTTTTTTTTGTAAATTTTTTAGTTTCAAGTTTCGATGTTTAAAACAAAGGTGTGAAAGAAAGGCAAAAGCTCAAAGAATTCATGATTTATTCTCTATCATATAATTCATTTAGATATAATGTATTTCCCTTCTTAACTACTCCAATTAAAAGAGAAAAAAAAAAAAAATGATACACTATGTAAGTGGCACTACAAGGTCCTAAAGTCTCGAAAATTGTCCATAACTTTAGAACTTTAAATGTAAAAATTTTGTACCCTTAAAAAGCCTACAATCGCATATCGGATCAGCTCTTGCCCAGACAAGTTTAGAGTCACATGGGCCCTGTGATGCTTTGAGATATAACCCATAACTATTAACAAAACCATAAAGCGGGCCTTAACTTAACCTCACCAAGACAAAATGGACTTAGGTGGTATTCCATTTGGGCCCATTAACTCACCCGAAACCAAACCTCTTTTCACGTAAGTCAACTTAAAACTCAACCATAACGTCTCTAATTTGAAATATTAAGTTTTTAACGTTGAACAAATTTATTTTTTTGATAAAAATAATGATTAATAAGTTAGGTTAGTTAAATGTTAGAAATTGAAGATTCAATTTTTAGACAAAGATAAATGCCACTACCTCCTCATTAAAAAGTACGGCCCAACCAGTTGGCGGGATGGTGGAATTCTTGAACAAATCCATTTGATTGTTAATTTACCTGAGATATTTCTATGTTACCCACTGATTTTTGGTCAGGGCAGAAGATATTTTTAGCCATCCAGAAGGAGATAACACAACCTGGGCATTTAGCAAGTACCACTGCAGACATCCAAAGTGGCACCAATCACACCCCATAAACAGGCTATCCAAGCTCCACGTCAGCACTATCTGGATCAACGAAAATGAGTGGTTTCTGTGAACACAAACCACATCTCCACATTATCAAAATTTTCCAGGAAAATTGGAAAATCAAAACCCAACAGTTTTTGAATCCCATTCTCCATTTTTAGTGGCATTTTAGAATCTCCAGCAGGAGAGATTTAGAAGAGGGTGAGAATATTTCATTCCTGTTTAGTGGTTCCATAGCCATGGCCTCAACTTCCTCCACCACACTCTACATCTCTTCCTCATCCACCCTTGTCGACGCCAAGGCTCCTCGCCAACCGACTGCCGCTTCGCCGCAATGTGTCACCATTCCTACCCTCACTCCTCCTCCCGTCTCGTCTCAAACCCGCCCCTGGAAGACCACTGCTTACTGTAAGTTGGATATTCTGAATTTCTCTGCCATTCATTATGTTTGTGTTGTGTGTAAAGTATGGTATGATTAGAGAAGGATCGAGAAATTTATAGGTCGCAAGATTGCTCGGAATGTGATGGCTATGGCGACAGGAGAGGCTCCGGCAGAAGTTGCAGCCACTGAACTACCGGAGGTTGTGAAGACAGTCCAAGAAGCTGTAAGAAGTTGGTTTCTTATTTTCCATCAAAATCCTGTTTT